GCTGGAATTGGGATCAACAGGTGGCAGCTCGTTACATTTTGCGAGGACTCCCAGTGAAGACTTCTACCGGGGAGCTTCCCCTGTGGGGAGTCCAAAGCCTCATATTGACCGGGACCCAGCGAGCAACGGGATGGCTGACGATGTCATTGAGGAAGAAGAAGAGAGGCCAGTTCCTCCTCCATTAGAAGTGAATGTCATTACCCAGGAGGAGCTGGTGCAATCATTGCACCAAGCCCGAGCGGGGGCGAGGGCAATGGCGACAAAGGGACGAGGCCCTTCGATGAAAGACCGCATGGGAAAATTGGAAGGGAAGATGCGGTCCCTATCCGATGATATGCGAGCGTTAAAGGCAGCGGTAGATCAACTGCTTGGAGGGGGATTTATGCTTCCTACGCGAGAGTCAGCGGCTACACCGGGAGGAACACTGGCAGCTCGTTACAGTCACTCAGATTGAATATCTCTTGACTTTTCACCAGCAGAGTCTAAAGTGGTGACTGTGGTGCTATCTTGCAATAGTCTCTGGGATTCATTTTGGACTTCGATGAAGTGGAGAGATTGCTCTCTGTTTGGTCATTAGCCACCTGAGAAGTTGAGCTGTGCAGCTCCTGACTCCTATGCATGATATTTGTGTGTGTGTTTGTGTGTGTGTGAGTGATGGGCTGGTCCTCTGAGGTACTCAGTGCCTCACTGTGGGAAGGAGTAGTATTTGTAGTCTTGAAGAGGCTGAGGTGTGCCTCTTCCATAAGAGCTGACCAGGCATTCTTGACAACTATATCCCAGTCCCTAACTTATTTTTTAAAGGTACAGTAGGTTATTGAGATTGTGATTTTTGGCAGCTCAGAATACTTAGTTGGAAGATAATATGAACTCTTTTCAGTCAGGGTTCAGGCCTGGGTATCAGATGGTTGGTCTTGTGGATGACCTTTGTCAGGAGTTGTAAGGGGGTAGTACATCCCCCCTCCAAACTTCTTTTAGACCCCCTGGTGGCCTTTATTAACATAGAACATGGTATCCATCTGGTCCACTGCAATGGTTGAAGATTCAACTCCTTCCATTCTAAATGATCAATTCAAGTCAGTGGGTCATGAGAGAAAGAACAGCCTGGCAGCCCTTCCTTTATTAATTCCAACTGACCCCCAATTTCTGTGTCCTGGGAAAAACTGTTAGACTGCCCTGAAGTGTTGAGGAGTACACTCCTTTTTAGGGGCAGCACCTATCTAATGAAATACCCTCCCTTTGGAAGACAGGCTTGGCCCACATTTCTTCCATTTAAAATTGCTAAAAATGGAAGGGTTTCAGAGGGCTTATGTGACCAATAGAGTGCCTTGTTTGATTGATTACCTGTAGTTTATTACGATTCTTGTAGGTTCATTGGTTTGTATATATATCCCGAACGTTTTAATAGGAAGTCTTTTTGGTGAATGTTCTGAATTAATTGATTGTGGCGAGTATAAATTTGATGAAAATATAAAAAGAGCACTGCTTCTCTATGCTCCCCCCCCCCGCCCCCCGCACTCCGTTGTTACGTACTACGTACGTC